GACCCCTCAGGAGATAACGACCTCCTGGCTTAGGCCTGCTCCCGGGTGGCAGAGGTCAGGCCCAATCCCTAGGTGCAGCCCCTGGTCGGGCTCAGAGCAGGGCCAATTGGGGAGTTGGGGCGCCACCCCCTGTCCTGCACAGAGCAGGGCGGATTGGGAGGTTGCGATGCCACCTTCAGTCACGCTCAGGGTAGGGCCTATTGGGGGATTGGGGCACCGCCCCTGTCACACTCAAGGCAGGGTCGATGGGGAGGTTGTGGCGCCACCTCCTGTCACGCACAGTGCAGGGCCAATCAGGGGGTTGGGGCACTGCCCCCAGTCCGCACAGAGCAGGGCCCATCGGGGGTTGGGGCACTGCCCCCTGTCACGCATAGAGCAGGGCCAATCAGGGGGTTGGGGAGCTCCCCCCTATCAGGCACAGAGTAGGGCTGATAGGGGAGTTGGGGCACCACCCCCTGTCACACAGAGAGCAGGGTGGATCAGGGGGTTTGGGCGCTGCCCCCTGTCACACTGCTCCAGGGGCCAGGAGGCCTCGCGGGTCAGCTGATCCCAGTGCTGGGAGGCCTCACTGCTCCACTTGACACCAGGCAGTGAGGCCTCGCTGCTCAGCTGATCCCCGTGCTAGGAGGCCTCACTGCTCCGCTGATCCCGGTGCTGGGAGGCCTCGCGGCTCCGCTGATCCCAGTGCTGGGAGGCATATTACCCTTTTACTATATAGGATAGAGGCCTGGTGCACAGGTGGGGGCCGGCTGGTTTGCCCTGAAGGGTGTCCCGGATCAGGGTGGGGGTCCAGCTTGGGTGCCTGGCCAGCCTGGATGAGGGGATGATGGCTGTTTGCAGCTGGTCACACCCCCTTCAGGGTGGGGGTCCCCACTGGGGTGCCTGGACAGTCTGGGTGAGGGGCTGAGGGCCGTTTTCAGACTGGAGGGCGACTGAAGCTCCCAACCTCTCCTTTTTTCTTTTTTTTTTTTTTAATTCTGGGATTTATTTACCTTCTATGGCTGTCACTGGAACTGAGAGCCGGCTTTAGCTCTGAGGCTTGGCTCCAGCTCTGAGACCTCGGTTGCTGATCTGGGTTTGTTTGGCTTCTATAATTGTAACACTGTTGCAACTCCAGCTCTGAGATCCCGGCTAGCTGAAAGTAGGTTTCTGGGGATAGTTTAGCTTCTATATTTGCAACATTGTTTCTTAGAGTGCAGCTCAGAGGCCGGCAGCGGCAGGCAGGGAACCTTGGCTTCCTCCGTCACTGGAGCAAGCAAGCCTCCTGTTCGCTTCAGCTGCCTGGCTGCCGGCCACCATCTTGGTTGGCAGTTAATTTGCATATCCCGCTGATTAGCCAATGGGAAGGGTAGCGAAGTTAGGGTTAATTACCATGTTTCTCTATTATTAGATAGGATAAATATCAAAATATAAGTCTTTGTTTTACTATGGTTGCAAATATCAAAAAATTTCTATATGTGACATGGCACCAGAGTTAAGTTAGGGTTTTTCAAAATGCTGACACACTGAGCTCAAAAGGTTTGCCATCACTGCCCTAGGAGATGTATCAGCAAACATATTGCTATGAGAGATGTCTAAGATTTTGCTGCTTATGGTTTCTTCTAGGACTTTTATGGTTCTGACTTACATTTAAGCCTTTTATATATTTTGAGTTTATTCTTTTTTTCTGTATTTATTAAGGTATTAAATATGTGTCCTTATCCCCCCCCAATGTCCCCCCACCCCAAACCCATTCATGCCCTCACCCCCCTGGTGTCTGCTTGAGTTTAATCTTGTGTATGGAGTAAGTTGGTGGTCTAGTTTCACTATTTTGCATGTACTTGTCCAATTTTCCCAACACGATTTATTGAAGAGGCTGTCTTTACTCCTCCTTTGTCAAATATTAGTTGAGAGTAATGGCTTGGGTCAATTTCTGGGTTCTCTATTCTGTTCCACTGATCCATATGCCTGTTCTTGTGCCAGTACGAGGCTGTTCTGATTACAGTGGCTTTGTAGTATTACTTGATATCTGGTATTGTAATCCCTCCTACTTTGTTCTTTCTCAAGATTGCTTCAGCTATTCACGATCCTTTTTTGGTTGCATATAAATTTTTTGAGTATTTGTGGGAGCCCAGCCAGCTCTCTCGCACCTCCACACTTCCTACCAGTCTGGATGTTGCCTCCTCTTTATGTTTTTGGTGATAAGGGTTCTCTCCAGCTGGTCTTCAGTTGGTTGTTCAGATGATTTTTCTATGTTTTAGTTGTAATTCCAGTTTCCTGCTGGGAGAATGCCAGTGTAGCTTCTACTTAATCTGCCACCATCTTGGAATCCTGCCTCTGTATTTTGGTATAATAAATAATCAGTTTATCCTTTTAATCTTTAGCAAATAAATGGAGCCTTTGGTGTCAGATCCATAGAAAAAGCAAGTTACATGTCCTGATGTGACTCAGATCTCTGTGTGTACTCTCTAGTACATTTTTGTTTTAATTATAGCATTGAAGGAGTGGAAAGTTTAAAATAGTACCTTTCAGAATCAGTCATTATTTAGTGACTCTCCTTTTCGAAAATATTGCTTATGCCTTTAAAATAAATGACAAGTTTCTTTTATTGTTACTTTGGCCCAAATACAAATTTATTGACATGGTGATGATACTGATTTTTAATTTGTTAAAAGAAAATTTTCTTGAAGCTGTAATAACTAAGAAGATTTAATTATTTAAGCATGTTTAAGTTAAGTTTAAAATTTTAGATTACATTGCTTACTTTTTTTCCTGTGTGGCTGAAGATAAATGTGAAAACACATAGAATTATTTAACTAGAAGAGTTGAGAGTTCTGCATTTCTTTCCCTGGTATACACACAATCTCTCTCCCTCTCCTCTCATCCCACTTTAGTATGCTATACTACAAGAAAAACAAAAACGGTAGCTATCTGAAAAGAGATAAAACTGTCAAAGGTACCTGGTCCAAGTCACCGTTATTCTTGCCTAGATATTTACAATAGCCACCTATCTGGTTTCCCTATTACCATCTGTTTGTGAAAGAGCAGTCAGAATGATTCTGTTAAAATCCAAAACAGATGATGTCACTTTCATGCTTAAAAACTTCTGATGACCTTTACCCCTTAGTCCTATTTTCCTGCTCACCCCTACACTCCCTCAGTCCAGCCACACTGGCCTCCTTGACCACACCATGTCCACTTCAGCCTTATCCTGGAATGTGCTTCCTTCAAACATCTGCATGAGTGGCTTCCTCACCTCTTTTAGGTCTACTCATTTTCCCTGTGGTATCTTCCCTATCACCTCTTTTACCGTAAAATTACAACTCTGAAACCACCCCTTTACCCCTTCCTTCCATAATAATTATCAACATCTAACATAAAATGTTGACTTATTTCTTCTGTTTATTATCTGTCTCCCTCTCCAGAATATGAGCCCTAGAAGGGCAAAGGGCTTTGTCTGATCTGTAACTGTTTTGTCAACATCCAGAAGAGTGGCTGGCTTATAGAAGTGCTCAGCAAATGTTTGTTGAATGAATGAATGAATGAATGAATGAATGAAACAAAGATAAGTCATGGTCTTATTTGATTCGCAACACTGTAAAAATTGCAGTTTTCATCACAACTTTTTAAAAAGCCACAAAACTTTGAATACCTTCTGATGATGAGACCTTGGATGTTGTTGCTATAACATCCAAGTTACAGTGTTCTCTTCTACCCTGCTCCAAATATTTTAGTCCTTCTATGTCTTAAGAATTAAGATCTCCATTAATTCATCACTATCCTGTTTAGAGCAAGTATAATCGTGTAAACCACTCCTAGTTTGGCATGAAAGGAGGAAAGAATTGAATAATAATGAAACATCTGTTCTTTGCTTTCTTTGACACTATAGTCTCCTGATGATCTTAGTAGTGGCCGTCTATTGTCTTATTTCTCTTTCTCTCCTGTTTCCAGCAGATAGGTCTTATTAAAAAATCTTGTTTGGAACTCTTTTCTTGCTCTGCATGTTCTTGTGGCTTCTATTATCTCCATTCTTTAGATTACTCTTAAATTTGTAAACCAAATCTTGACATTTCTTATTGGCTACCAGTTTTACATTTCCCAGGCTGAGTATATCCATCTGGCCATTTTTCAAATTCTCAAATCTCATGTGTTTAAAACCAAATTTATCTTTTTCCATTAAAACTGGATCCTGTTTTAGTAATTCATTATTGTTAATGACCCTGCCTTCTTTCAAGTTTGGAAATGCTTCCAAAGTTCATGACTTTTTTTCATATTGTTAATTGTCAAGCCTTGCTGCTTATACTTCTAGAATATCTCTTGATGAATCGTGTTTGCTTTCAGTAGATTGGAGCTGGGGTCTGAAATTTTACATTTCTAAATGCCTCTGAGTCAAGCTGATGTTGCTGTCTGTTGACCACCTTTGAGTAGCAAGGGCCTGCTCTAGGGTAACAATGACCACCTGAGCCTAGTCTTTCACTTCCCATTCCATGGCTACTTCTAAGAAAAACTCAATTCTTTTTCAAAATAGAGATCTGATATTGTCCAGTCTTGCTTTAAAAGAGGATAGGTCTTTCCCATGCCATAGAAGATTTGGAAAGTCACAGAGGAGATAAAAAAAATTCAAATCAACCGTAATGGTCCATTCACAATTAATCATTAACACTTTGATGCATATTCTTTTAGTCCTTTTTTCTTTGCATGTCACTAGCTATTTAGGCTATACCTGTATTTTTAAACCACAAAAGAATCATTTATATCTTTCTTTTGTTGCCCGTGTGTAAATTTGCTCTCTGTGTTGAATCCTCTGTCTTGTAAAGTAGAATCTGCTTTTTCTATATGATAAAAACACTCAGTGCTCTTTTCTCAACCTCCCTGACATCTGGGAACTGGGGACTGGGTGCAGCCACGCAGATGCATCCTCTCTAGACTTTGATTCAGGAGCTGGTGACTCAAAGCAGCAGGAATGACGCAGAATCCATTCTGGCCAGGGGATGGTGGCGATGGCAGCTGCGTCCGGTTTCCAGTGGCAGCAGAGACAGCTGTACCATGGCAGTGTGCAGTGTCCAGCATCTGAGTACAAGCCATGGGGTCAGTGCTTGGCAGCTGCGGTGGTAACTTCACAGGACCAGCTCTGCGGAATGTTTTGGGTACAGTTCTTGCCCAGTGTTTTGTCTCTCCACCTTTGCTTCTTTAATTAGCTTAAAAATTGACTTAATTTACTGACAACAAATTCTAACAGTAAATAACTCTTATATAAGTGGCTTACTGTTTAAAATACGTGTCAGGCAAATTTCAAAGTGCTTTATGTGTATTAACTCATTTAATTATTACAACAATCCTATAATGTACATTATGGTATCATCCCCATTTTATGGATATTAAAACTGAATTACAGAGATGTTAAGTTACTTGATCAGTCAAATGACTGTAAATGGCGGCTTTGAAATTCAAGCCTAGTCAGTTTGATGTAGTTCTTAAGAGCCCTGACTTACACACATATTTTTATAACCTATTTTTTTCATATACCAAAATTTCATGAACATTTCCATGTTGTTACATATTTATCTAAATATTTAATGTAGCTGTATAAGATGGTTCATTATTTATTTAATCAACTTGATATTTTTGGACTTTAAGGATATCCTGGTGGCTAAACTTTTTTTTTTTTTTTTTTTTTTTTTTTTTAGTATGTATGACTATTTCCTTGGAATTAATTCCTAGAAGAAGAATGCTTGGTCATAGGGTATTCAGATTGCCTTCCAGAAAAGTCTTTCCAGTTTATATATAAGAGCAGTCAGTTTCCCTGAGTCCTTATTAATATTGAATGTTATCATTAAATATTTTTTCTTTGGGGTACTGAAAAGAATGTAGAGTTTTCTTTTGAACCTAAAATGTTTCAAACATTAAAAAATACATTTATTTGCCATTTGTCAGAAATTACTTTGTGAATTGACTTCTCTATCACCCATGGGATAAAGTTGAAACTTAGAAGGCACTGCAAGGCTCTTCCTACTCACCCCAACTATTTATCTAACTAATTCACCTATAAGTCCTAAACATTAATTCTACACACCATGGGAATTATTTTGTATTAGATTGAATCATATGAATGTACTGTTTTTGTAGGCCAAAAAATGGTTGACTATTGGCAATTTCATATGGTCACCTTCTCCCGGCCCCTTCCCCCACATATCCCCACGCATATCCAAACAACTCTGGTCTTTTCTTTCCTTCTTGTTCATTAGGCATGTCTGTGCTCAGGATTTTGCCTTTTGTAAGTAGGCTTCTCTAACCAGGGAGCTGGTTCAATGTCCAGATCCAAAGATCTAGAAGATCTGTTTGAGATTTTCAAATAGAGGGTGAGATGTTATAATAAAAAAAGAGTGATAGCCCTGACCAGTTTGGCTCAGTGGATAGAGCATCAGCCTGCAGACTGAAGGGTCCCGGGTTTGATTCTGGTCAAGGGCATGTACCTTGGTTGCGGGCACATCCCCAGTCTGGGGGTGTGCAGGAGGCAGCTGACCGATGTTTCTCTCTCATCGATGTTTCTAGCTCTCTATCCCTCTCTCTTCCTCTCTGTAAAAAATCAATAAAATATATGTTTTTTAAAAAAGAGTGATAATAACAACTATTGGCAAGAATGTGGAGAAATTGGAATCTATATTCCATTCCTACACTGCTGGTGGGAATGGAAAATGGTATAACCACTTTGGAAAAACAGTTTGGCAGTTCTTCAAATAGTTAAACATAGAATTACCATATAATTCAGCAATTTCACTTCTAAGTATATACTCAAGAGAAGTACAAACATATGGCCACACAAGAGCTTATACAAGAATATTTATTGAAACATTATTCATAATAGCCCAAGAGTGGAAATAATTTAAATGTCCATTAGCTGATAAATAAATAAATAAAATCTGTCATGTCCATAAAAGGGAGTATTATTTAGCAATGAAAAGGAATGAAGTACTGATACATGCTACAACATGGATGAACATTGAAAACATGCTAAATGAAAGAAACTAGTTTAAAAAAAACTTATTGTATGAGTCTATTTCTATGAAATGTTCAGATAGGCAAATCTATAAAGACAGAAAGTAGATTAGTGGTTTCCTCGAGTGACGGCTAAGGGGAGTACAGTTTCTTTTTGAGGTAATAAAGTTGTTCTAAAATTGATTGTGGTGAGGAATGTACAAGTCTAAATATTTTATAAGTCATTGAATTATACACTTTAACTGGGTGAATTGTACAGCATGTGAATTATATGTGAACAAAGCTGTGAAAAAGAAAAAAGGTATGTGGTGTTTGTTTGTTTGTTTGCTTTTGTGTGTGTGTGTGTGTATTTTTCCATTTCATTTTATCTCCTAGCTCTGGCTAGCTGAACATTCCCATGCCTAATTTCAGACTTGCTTTGCCCTTTAATTCTGCTTGAAGTCCAGCCAATAGCTACTGTAGCAGGGTGGAAATTTAACTCACACTGCAACTCAGACATGAAAAGAAAATATAAGTTCTTATTTAGTCTGTAGCCAGTCTGACTTTCCTTCTGAAGTCCCAACTGATGGATAGTGGGAAAAATGAATGGTATGTGTAGTCCCCAGTATCTGGGAGGCCACTGCGGTGGAAGGAATGGCTAGGACTAATTCACATGCAGGTAACACACACTATTCTTTTTTTAAAACATTTAATTCATCAATTTAATTAAATTTATTGGTGTAACATTGGTTAATAGGATCATATAGGATTCAAGTGTACATTTTTATGATACAAAATCTGTGTTATTGCACTGTGTGCCCACCACCCAAAGTCAAACCATCTTCTATCACCATCTATTAGGGCCTCTCCATGCCTATCCCTACCCCTTCCCTCTGGTAACCACCACACTGCCGTCTGGGTCCACGAGTTTCAGTTTTATATCCCACACATGAGAACAGACACTATCTTGCTGCAACTAGATCTACTTAAATGACCAATGGGTAGGACAGTGTGTGCTCCATATGCATGATTCTGAATTCTTGTTTTGATTCTTGATTTTGTGCCTTGCTTTGGACTCTGTTCCGTGTCACTCAAGACTTGTTTTGAACTGTATGTGTGTGCTCCTTAACTCACGATGGTTCTCTTGACTCTTGACTACTGGTTCTGTCTTGAAAACTGGCTCCCAGGCAATGCATATGTCTCTGGCTTTGCTGTCTTCTGGTAGCTGGTCATAAAGTTTCATTGTTTCAGTCTCCTAGTCATGGCTTCTTATCCCATCTCTATGATGAGTAAAAGATTATCTTGTGGTTTCCTGAAGCATTTGAGCTTAATAGAACACATTCACTTATTCCTTTCTTCCAAACTATATTTAAAAGTACTCCAAAATGTTTTAAATAAAATTTGACATGTTTTTATAATTTTGTAAAAATGATGATGCCATCTATTTTAATTTTAAAGCTGTACTTTTTTGTTTGTTTGGAAAAAGGACTTCCTGACTATTGGTGCTTTCAATGGAAGAAATACAAAATAGTATTACATTAATTGGCTCCGAAGAGAGATAAACTGTGATGTACATTCATTTTTCAAATTGTTTTATCTTGGCTAAACTAAGTTAATGATCTGACAGTTCAGAAAGGAATTTAGAATGTTTACTGGTTGTTTTGAATGATTTGTATTCTGAGGGATTGTGATTTCTATAAATAACCAAAAATATTTCAAAATTGGTATTCACTGAGGATGGAATTGATATAGTGTCCTACAGTCTGAGTGGCAATGCTTGGGAGGTTATTTTTATTACCTGTAATACATTATTTTGGTAAAAGTATTAAGAATATTTAACATTATATGAATATGTATTGAGTTTATGAAGAGACAAACCTGATTAAAATATTTAACTACTAAATAAAAGGATTTTAAACATATTTTATAGGGTTTTATATTCAATAGAAGTTATCTTTGTGTCTATTATATACATACATACATACAAATTAAAAATTTAGGGGATATATATGTAAATAAATAAAGATAAATATGTATATCTAAGTAAATACATGCTTATATTCTTAGGTATGTTGTCCCAAGATTCAGCTGGATATAATTTTCACATTATCACCATAATCAATATCATATCTATTAAGTCACCAGGAAGTAAAAAATTGATAATGACAAAAACAAGTATACTCTTTTGGATATTTGTTACTTATTCTGATATTTGAATATATTAAAAGGTTTTTAAAAAATGCCTGAGCAAATTGTAACAACTCTAAAGCCACTGTAGAAGAAACGTTTATAAAACATGAGGTGAAATTACGTAGATTGCTAGACCTGAATAAATGCAATGATGATAGACAAAGAACAGTCCAAAAAGAGAAGGAAGACTGGAAATAAGAAGAGTGAAACATTAAAGGACTGATCTAATTTAAATCTTGGGTGAATCAGTGACAAACAGCGTAGAAAATATAACAGGAAATATGTGTTTGCGCATTTAAAGCACTGCACTGCAATGAATTTATGTATTATTCCCACACCACTCATATTTCTCACTCCATTTGTATTGGCTGGGATACTGATTAGACTGTTGTATTAAGTAAGTCCAATATACAATGACTTAAATAAGTAAAATCCAGTATCTGTAAGGTGACTTGATAGTGTCTGGGTCTGAGGCTCCTTCTGTTTTTAGGCTTTGCCATTCTTGAAGGTATAGTCTTTATCATTCACACTGCTGAAGATGGCTCACCACCATACCAACAGGAAATAGGGAAGCAGAAGGCCTTATGAAGCCTGACATGCTTATTGGAGAGGTAAATGAAAGAGAAAGAAATTTGACTATGTGTCCAATATGGTTTAAGAATAGTTAGGTTTGGGAATTTAAACTGTCCTTTAGGTAATGCTATGTTTTCCTAGGAAAAACTGGTCAATCTCTGAGATGCCCTGACCCAACCTGTTTCTCTCCTTAAGAAGATGCCCTAATATAAATGGGAGAGGGATGCGGCTAATATATTTGAATATCAGAATAAGTAACAAATATCCATTGAGGAGGGATGAGGTGGGGAGATTTGAAGCAGGGGTCAGTCTTAGAGATGATCTCTTTCTAGGGCACTGCATGAAGATCAAGGACAAGGAACTCCTTTGCCTTTGGGATTACTTACATTTATTGCAAACTGTGGTTCTC